CATCTGCCTGCCAGATGACAGGAGGCTAGTGCTTCTGGCTCAGACCACCAGCAGCACCAATCTTCCCAGCGCTGGTCCCAGGTGGGAGCAGCAGTCTTCTTTTATCCAGCAGGCAACTTGGGGGCCCGCCAGAACAGTCCAATACAGCCCTGCAGCCCTCCTGGGGGTGTGGGTGAACCCCAGTTTGCCTGCCATAAGACAGGAGGCTGCTACTGCTGGCTGGGACCAGCACTATAGCCTGTAAGAGTGGATAGGAGCTTTTTTAAGGACATGCTAGGAGTACTACAAAAGTTGCTAATGAAATGTTAGATACAACTTATTCAAAAAAATTCTCTAAGAGGTATACCAATGATTTAATCATCTTCAAGGCTCAGAGTTAAGGCTGCAGTTGGTGTTGAGGTATGCGTGTTTCATGCTGAAGTCTTCTGGTGCACTGGTTACCTCATCCAGTGAATTACTTTTGGGTTTTGTGCTTGTGTAGTTTAAGTGTCATTCAGGCATTAACTCAAAGTACACAGAACTTCTTGACTGAAATATATATATAAGAAGATATGCGCAGTTATATGAAGGTACTAGAGGATATGAGGTACAAATACCCATCCAGAGGTTCCAATCCAGTGTGTGCTTCAGTTCAGAAACAGGTTTGGAGCAGTGGCCTAGTCATCATGATCTAAAGAATGTCATAGTAGGTAGGGTCAGAAGGGACCTGAGCAGATCCTCAAGTCCAACCCCCTGCCATGGGCAGGGGCAGGAAAAAGTGCTGGGGTCAAACAACCCGGCTAGGTGATTATCCAGCCTCCTCTTAAAGACCCCCAGGGTAGGAGTGAGCACCACTTCCCATGGAAGTTGGTTCTGAGTCCTAGCTGCCCTGACTGTGAAGTAGTGCCTCTTAATGTCTGGTCTGAATCTACTCTCAGTCAACATATAGCCGTTATTCCTTGTCACTCCCAGTAGTGCTCAGGGGAACCGGCACTCTCCCATTGCCTGCTGGTCTCCCTAGGCAAGTTTTTAGATGGCCAGCAGATCCCCTCTCAGCCTTCTCCCATGGAGGCTGAACACATTCAAGTCCCGTAGCCTCTCCTTGTAGGGCCTACCCTGCTGCCCCGTGACCATGCGAGTGGCCCTCCTCTGGACCCTCTCCATGTTGTCCACGTCCCTCCTGAAGTGCAGCACCCAGGACTGGATGCAGTACTCCAGCTGTGACCTGACAAAGGTCACAAAGAGGGGGAGGATCACCTCCTTGGACCTGCTCCTGATGCATCTGTGGATGTATGACAAGGTGTGGTTAGCCTTCCTGACCGCGTCCCCACATTGTCGGCCCATGGTCATCTTGGAATCAATAATGACTCCAAGATGCTTTTCTGCCTCTTCACTGACGAGAAGGGAGTTCCCCAGGCCGTAGGTCTGCTGCTGGTTCTCTCTCACCAGGTGCAGTACCTTGCACTTGTCAGTGTTGAAACCCGTCCTGTTCTCATCTGCCCACCTCTGTAACTTGTCCAGATCTAGTTCTAACCTGTCCTTCTCTTCTGGCATGTTCACTTCTCCCCATTTCTTAGTGTCATCCGCGAATTTGAACAAGGTGATTTTCGCCCCCTCGTCCAAGTTGCTGATGAAGATGTTGAACAGTGCAGGCCCAAGGACCGAGCCCTGGGGAACCCCACTGCCCACATCCCTCCAGGTCAAAAACGACTCATCCACCACCAGGAGACGAGCTGACTAATGGGTGCAATGTTCCCAGTTGCAACATTGAAAACTAAATTACATGGGGATATAGTTTCGTTTTCAATGATGCCAACTTATTTAAAACCCACAAAACTTGCATACATGTGATATGTGAAGCCATTAAGCCATACAAAAGGGAAATCTTTAACCCGTGTACAAGTGCCCTAAGGTGCCACTCTCCCATCCCTCTAGCTATGGGCTGTAGCCCACAAACCACATAGAAAACACTCCCTTTAAGAATGCTAAGAGGACTGTAGATGTGTGGAGCAGCAAGAAGTTATCAGAGGATATTACAGAAGAATAAAAGAGCTGTTGAAATAAATAACCTAATTATATAAAAGAAGTCATAAGTGTTTTACCTGAGAAATCTACATTCAATATGAGATAACAAATATATTTTTAACTCCACTATGTAAATGAAAATATTCCCTTAAAGGAGGGAGAGAGAGAGAGTGAGAGAAGGTTGTTGGTTGTAGCCAAGTAGGTCTAAGGACCTAGGCAGACAAGATTCTTTGGGTAGGTGTAATATATTTTATTAGACCAACTAAATAGTTGGAAACATTGTTCTTTGCAAGCTTTTGGCCACAAACACCCTTCTTCAGGCATAGGGAGAGTCTAGTGGCATTTTATGTGCTCTCCTGGGTAGAAAAAGGAAGAGAGCAGTAAACCTGTGAAAGTAGTAAGTTCTCAGAAGTAGATACAAAAGAAACAAAGGACAGTTGATGTGGACACAATTATGTAAAAGAAGTCAGTATTTTATCCAGCCAATAACTTAAGATGTCTCCGAATCATTCACAGATGAGAGGAAGAACATTGTGCCCAAAACTAGTCTGATATTCCCGCACCCCCCACAAACATACAATTGTTGCAATAAGAGATATTACCAAACAAACCTATGCTTGGAAGGAAATTTCTTTTATGGCAGATTGTTTAATCATCTTAATCAGTTTAAATTAAGTGTGCACAGACTGCACAGTTACAATTGACTCATCTGCTACATTCATTTTGCTTCATGTATTATTCCACTACAACCAAAGATCCTCAAGAGCATTTAGGTGCCTTGTTTTTTCTTAAGATGCTCAAGTTCACTATTTATATAGCACTGAAATACTCAAAACAACGGCATTCAGATGCCATGTAACCCCAAGGGGTTTAAGTCTTCTAGGCACCTAAAAATGCATTGATAGGCACCTACGAATCCATCTACCAACACAGTGAACAAGATGCTCGTAGCCCTGAACAGGAGGCATTGGACTGTTATTCTCCAAATAAGTTCGTAAAAGCCATCTTGCTAATGGCACGTACTTTTAGCCATGCTCCAAAAAGCCAGCTACATGGATGGAGCAGTGCATCTTCTACTTGTGGCACTCCAGAAGGCTACAAGAGTGCCGTGTTCAGATCTCTGCTCCACTATGAGGACGAGTAGCTTTGTCTCTTAACTCCTATGTAGGCGTGTTCTGGGGAGGACTGCTTAAGTTCCTGTCCGTCGGACCCTTCCACTATGTATAAATAACTAAATATATACTGATGCATAGAAAGGCTGACTGCAGAGCTCAGTAATTTGTACACTCATGTAAGATATAGAATCACAGAAAGAAAGAGCTGGGGGGACCTTTGGAGGACATCTAGTCCAACCCCCTGCTCAAGACAGGTACATCCCAATCCAAACCTTCCCATACAAGCGCTTCTCTAGCCTCTTCCTAAAACTCCACGAACAACCATGTCCCACAACTAAAAGGGACATAGTCCATGGACATCAAGAACCCCCTAAGCTGCCACAGCTAAAGCAGGGGGATGAGGGCAGTGTCACTATCCTGCCACTGCAAGGATGTTAAATACACTCAAGAAATCCAGGCAAGAGGATCAGGCCACTTGCACACCCTTCCCCACTTCCTGCCCCACAAAAAGAAGGGAAATGAACCCATAGTCTGTATCTATCTTACTGTGGGGTAAAATTCCTCCCTTCCCCCAGATGTGGTTGTTGGTCTGATCCTGAGCCTCAAAATTGGCACACCCCACTCACAGTCTCCTGCCTTGGCTGTAGCCAACACCCAATGCATCTGAGGAAGGCAAACAAAAACACACACGCACTAGAGGCATGCGAAGTGGGCCCTCTTCAATTTGGATTTGGCCTGAATCAGGGATAGGTAATTTGATTCGTTGATTTGGATCACTGTTCCCGATTTGATTCGGCTGAATCCAAATCTGAAAATCAATGCCGATTTGGAGAACCAGCGACTTGGACATAGGCACAGCTTTAAATGTTTTCTCTACATCCCTTGAGGTAGCAGGCACGGCTCGTGAACACCGCAATGCTGGGGCGCATGGAGCTTCCCACAGGAGTGCAGGTCCTTCTGGTTCCCTTCTGGGCCTGCTGGGAGCACGCTGGGTCCCCTCCCCTTACCACCATGGCTCA